ATGGGCTCAGATTTCAGGTATGCAAATCAAATGGCCATCTGTTCAAAAAGCCACTCCACAAAATAGGCTTTGATACTGGTCTTCAGACAGAAAAATGTTTATAGCACCTCTGTGCAACACGCTGTTAAACTTGTAACAATACAAAAGGTGATTGCTTCATCATGTTTTGTTAATGGGAAATTATACCACAAACTTACTTTAATTCACACTACTGTTGTCCGTAGGTTCATGCCTGGTGCACTGTGCCAGTAACAAATTTGAGAAACTTTTATTTCCAGGAGCATAAAACTAATACAATCCTCCGTGGGTTGGCCCTTACTATGCTATGAGCAATGCTTTCATTTTACTTTAATTAGGAAGGACAATATCAAATTAGCATGGTAAAATGATGCAGAATACAGCACTATACACAGCAGATGAATAAGCATAAGCAATCCTTTACATACCAAGTAAGGCATATATAAAATTGTACACATACTGTAAGCCTGGTTACTTTTTCTGGATTCAGGAATTTAGGAAACAGTTCTGGCCCTGCTAAAGATGACAGCAAAATGCCAATTGGTTTTAAAGAGTCAAGTATATGAACTTCACTGTTTCACAAAAACATCAACTCGGCTGTATTTTCTCCACGTTGCACCTGTGCTCAATCTATGGCTTCTGTACAGGATACTGTATGCTTTCTTTCTGGTACATCTGTATCTCACTTGTATCTGTTTTGCTGCTGCCCCACTGAGACCTTTTCTGGAATATCATGATAGAGCTGTTGTGAGAAGCATGGTGGAAGGGTTTCCTGAATGATGGGTGAGGAGGGGAGGCTTGTGGTGCCAAGTTATTTATGAAGAAGGGAACTGGAGAGGTGTCCTCAGTTGGTGAGGAGGACAGAGGAAAGAAAGAGAGAGAACAGAGAATAGTATAGGAAATTAATTTGGGAAGGAAGCCCTTACCTATACTAAACAAGCTTTTGCTCTGTCATTATATGGTATGTTGAAGGGTTGGAATTGAAGAGGAGAATCAGTATGTTTCTCGTTGACTTTGCAGGACAGTTCTATAAATACATGTCTGTTCTGGTTTTATACATCACATCCTCTGCAGCCCTCACAGCATACAAATATCTAAAGAACTCACATTCACAGTTCTCTCTCTTTATGCTGATTACTCCTTTGAAGTCGGTATGCATTGCATATGTACAGCTGATAACACATTTTGGGTCTTACAACTCTAACCATGCTGAATGTGGCACTGCTGGATTCTAAACCTGCAACACGGTTCTGTCAGTCGCGTTATTAATTTTATATCCAGGACTCCTGAGTGATACATTAGCTTTGAGGTAGAATCTATGTGCCCATTCTGGGATTATGCTAATTAACTTGGCTTCCGTATAGCAACACAAAACAGGCTTAAAATTAACTTAAGTAACTAACGTGAGATTCCTCCTGAGAAAGGAAATCTTGAATATTTTAAAGCTGCTGGAGCCATTATCTTACCCTGTTTCCCAGTTGTATTTTAAGAACAAAGGATTATAGCCAATGCCTTGTGCTATCAATTAGATTCAGTACAGTTAGTCTGAATTAGAAGAGTCCTGAGGCTGAGCAACTTCAACAGGCATTGGAATCAGGGGAGTACATTGGTGGCTGGAAGCCAGCTGTTTCCCCTGGGTACTCTCTTGAACACAGATGGCCTGAACTGAGGATTGAGTTTTGGGGGTTTTGTGTGTTTCCTCTGAAGTGAAATTGCTCTAGTTTGCTAGCCACTGTGATGCTGATGGGCAGCTTATAGATTCTGCATCCACTAATTCCTCACTATATCATAACAGTAATTTAATTGCATCCAAAACTGCTATGGAAAATATGTCAAATCTTACTGTTCTTAGTTTTAAGTTATTGTAGTTGCCTGAAACTTCTTAAAGTTTGTGATATAATTAGTAGTGTATAGAGCTCGATCCTCAGTTCTGGCCTTCTGTTACTGTATAATGCACATCTTGATAAATATACTTACTCATTTTTTTTCAAGCTCTTACACTATCACTTACTATTTCAGATTAAGTTTTTCATAGTAGGTTCCTGTCTGAGAGGGACTTATTTCTCTTCTCTAAGATTTTAGCAAGAGCTCTTCTTTGGCCATATTTGAGTAAAAAATTAAAGGAATGAGTATTTGTATTGGCAAGAAAAAGCAAATAAATAGTCAAGGTATGAAATGCCTTACGTGTCATAATGCAAATAAAAGTTTGAACCCCACATCTTTTGACTCTCAGTATTAAAGGCACAGGATAACTTGAAAGCTGGCTGATTTCTGTTTTTCTCTGGCTTAAGGGTTTTTGCATGGTCTTATCATTCTCTTATATACTGGATAGTTAAAAGACCAGATGATCTTTCAGATACCTCAGCTGGCAAATTTCCATTTCCCAGCAGCAATCTGCTTCAAAAACAGCTGCCATCCCAAATTTTTGTCTGTATAATCAAGCCTCAAAAATCAGATTTTATAAAGTTCCATAGGGATAAATTAAATCTGAAATATTATTGTGAGGTTCCACAAATGCTGAAAAAGAAGGGTCTGCTTCTGAGAAATGTATTTTTGTACCACCAGACATTTTAATGATGCATAATCCTTCATGTTTTCTCAGGTTGAAACTTTGCATGAGGTACAGTAGAAGGCACATGGAGATACAGGTGAGACTGAGCATGAACGCATTGCTGACCACTAACAATATTGGGTTCCAAATGTTTTTTGGGGTCATCTCTTTTTCATATGAATGTGTAGCTTAGAAAAATCATTAAGAATGGGCACTAAGGCACCCAGAGGAGTTATGTGCCTTAAGTTAATGAAGTGTGCTTCAGCATTTTGCTTCTAGCATATGCTCTTACTTACAGGTGAATGGGCACTCGACCCTATTAACATCAGGCCAGTACTCTCAGATGGTATATTTCCTAGGCTTGTTATGGTCTGAGTTCCTGAGAGTCACAGGCTATTCTGCATTTTGTTTGACTTGTCATGTGAGATGCATACCGCTTATTTGGTACCTTTTATCGCAGGAGAACATGCACTGAGCTGGAGTCGAGTTTCACTAGTCAGAAGGTCTTAATGTTTCTGCACAATTTGGAGACCCTTCAATCAGCACAGGGTAATACCTGAAACAATCAGATATATATTTCCTGCTTCTTAAGTTTTTCTCACGACTTAATCAGAAAGCTACATGATTATTCATAATCCAAGTGCCAGAGGTGTATTTTGGCTGTCCTGCTCTAATTGCTGACTCTGTGCCTGTCTAGCTTGCACAGTGCACAAAATATTTAAGTCTTCTAGAATAGTTATTCCACAAAAGGGTAGCTATCTGAGCAGCGTCTGCCCACTGCCAGGTACTTGAGCAATATCCCTTTCATGCCTCCTGGCACTGCATTCCTTGGAATCAAAAGCATTGGCAACTGCAGCAGGCTGTCCCAGAGCTGATAGGTTGGGGGTAGGTTCATGAGCACCAGCACAGGTTTTACAGGTTGCCTCCCAGGAGAATATTCCAAAGGTCATTTCTTTTAAAGTTCAGATTATTTTCTCCCAGTCATCTGTTTACTTAGGAAATATCCCTGCTTGCTACTTTTTATGGAGGTCTAGCCTGTCCTCTAGTGGTTGGGTCATTAAACATTATGCAGACGTGAAAGGACTTGACAGAGGTGGCTTGAGGGAACACTAAACAGTCACAGCATCCGTGGGCTTGCTGACTGAGCTAAGCTGTTGCTATGCACACAACTGCTGGTACTGGTATGTGTAATGCTGTTTGTGTCAGTGAAACAGTCCATGAGAAAAGATAAAAGGCCTTTAGCTAGGAGTGATTTCTGGGCTCCTTCACAGGCCTGATGCCAGTTAAGAGGAAAGAGCATCTACTGCAGCTCAAGCTGTGTTGAGGGGAAAAAGGGCAGTAAGGGCTGCCTTGTGTGATTGCTTTGGAAGGAAAACTGTAATTATGTGGAATAAAATAATGAATTTTTTATAACGGAAGTACAAACCTAGTGAGCTTTATTGATTAACCTGTAATGTACACACTATGTTATAAATCATTAATTTGAGAATTTAGAGTTTTTAACATTTGAAGCTCTCGTTCTGGTGGTTCCCAAAGATTCACATATTGAAGAACAAAAGCATCAATTTTCCTCAAGTAGATTGATTGCTCAGATGCAAGAATTTATCATTTTTTCCCCTAGGACTATAGCGAAGGAAGAGCTGCAGCTTTGATCTCAGTGACTGGCAGCCTCCTCTATTCCTCTGGCATGTACTTTAATTTTTTTAAGGCAAAATGAAAGAATTGGCTTTTGTGGTATTCTATCTGCTCTGCCAATTTCTTAGCCATGTCCTTTCAGCATAAGGGATTTTAGATATATTTCCATAGATGTTTCATCATATTGTTCAGTACGCTGATGTTAACATTTATTCCTGTTAAAATGCTGAAGGAGCTGTGGCAGATACCAGGCCATTAAAGGTAGACGTGAAATGTAAAGTAACACATGTATGTAAGAAAATGACACTTGGTACAGCAGAACAGATCAGAACAGAAGGCAGAGAATATAGCCTATGGAGAACTGTGGAAAGCACTGGCATATTATCAGCATCTGTGTCCACATTGTGAAGCAGAGAGGAGTTACATGCCTGAAGGAAGGCACAGTTTGAATTTTACTTTGCGATCATCTGCACATAACCCAAAACATCCTTCTGAGATTTGTCTAGCTTCCTTCCCTTCAGTGCTACTCAAGACAGGTTGTGTTGACTGTCAGCTGAAGCTTATGGTTATACACAAATTACTTGGGAAGATACAATCTAGATCCTGAAATACTTTGTAGAAAATATTTCACACCGAGCTTTGCAAAACCTGGCAGCCAGGGAGACCTGCTGCTCTGCATTCCTTCCTCTGCTCATCACTTTTTAGATCACATATGCATTAGCATCCTTAAAATACCTGCTTGCAGGGGCCGCAGTGACACAACAGAAGGGTGCAGTGCTCGCTGCACCTCACTCACCTTTCTCCTGCCCTGTGCTGGGATCCTCAGCTGTTAAATCTCATTCACAGGCTGTACTGCCCGGGCTCATTTTCCACCTACGATAAACCAGAGCCTTTAGGACCTTATTTCACGGGCAACGACAGGATGTGGACTGCAGGCTGGAGGAATGCTTCATTAAAAAACGTGGGCTGTAATGTGGACTGTCCCTTCCTTCCAGCTCGTGTGGGCTTATGCTGAGGGAAGGACGGAAACAGCAAAGTGTGCAGAGCAGGTGCAATAACCCTGAGGTGCTGGTTTTCGACAACCGGCTCGTGTTCCCCCTCCCAGCCCCGTCAAGGACGCCTCTGGTGAGGCAAGGGCAGGGACCGGCAAGCCGGGCTCTGAGGAGGGGGCGAGGGCACGGCGGCCGCCCCCGCGCCGGAGGGCGCAGCTCCCCCGGGCTGCCCTGAGGCGGTGGCGGGGCCCTGGGCGAGCCCATCGCGGCGGAGGGAGGGAGGGAAGGAGGGAAGGAGGGAGGGAAGGGAGGGAGGACGGACCGAGCGACCGCCGGGCGGGCGGGGGGAGCCGCCGCCGCCGCCGCCGCCGCTGCCAGCCGGGTGCGCGGCGACCCGCTCCCTGTCCAACATGGTGGCCGCGCACACCTCCCATTCCGCCTCCTCCGGCGAGTGGATCGCTTGCCTGGATAAAAGGTATCGGCGCGGTCACAGGCGGCGGAGGGATGCTGCGGGCGGGGGGGCTGCCCCCTGCGTGCACGGGTGTGTGTGTGTGTGTGTGTGTGTGTGCGCGCTGGTCCCCCCCCGGCTCCCCCATCGGGTGCCGCCTTACATAAGGAGCGTGCAGGTGGGGAGCGCAGCGCCCGCGGGCAGCCGGGCCGGGGCCGGGGCCGGGGCCGGGGGAGGCAGGATGCGGGGCTGGGGACGCCCCCTGGGGCAGCTGCTCCGCGCCGCTGCCTGGAAAACGCCGCACGTGGAGGAGGAGCGGAGCGGAGCGGAGACCGGGAGCCGCGGGCCCGGGGATACCGGGCGGGGACCCGCCGTGCCCGCCATGGCGGACCCGCTGCCCACCGCAGGGTGCACCCCGCCCCGCGCCTCCCCTCGCTGCCCCTCACCTCACAGCCCCTCACCTCACAGCCCTTCGTCTCCTCGCGGCCCTTCGCCGCCTCAGCGCCTCGCCCGGCAGCCCCCCCGCCTCCCGCAATCGCCTCAGGATCGGGCGGGCAGGGCCGGCCGCAGAGCGCCCCGCGGCGCGGGCAGGTGCGGGGCCGCTGGCCGAGGGGGGGGCAGAAAATGTCCGCCCCGAGGAGGCGGCCGAGGGCTCCCTCAGGGGCGACCGCCCCGCGGGGCAGGTGCGGGCGGGTGGCAGCGCTGCGAGGGCGGGAGCGTGTGCCCAGAGGAGGTGTGTGCGATTTAAAATAACTGGCGATGTGTCCGTTTATTTATTTTAAATAAATCCTTCGTAGTGTGTTCTGTAGGTATAAGGGAATAAAGTGAGTCTCACGGTGTCTAGGTAGACGGTGGGTGGTTTGCCATGGTACTACCATTAATGCATACTGGATGAGTTCAGAAGTGAAGCTGTTTGATTTCTGAACACTCCATGTCTACTAGTGCCTAGGAACATGTTTAAGAAAAATGTAGACCATAGCCACTACACAGTTCGAACACAGCCCTAGGAGAGAAGTGACTTACGCAAAGGTGTACGGTGTGCTGAGCATCGTCAACCAGCCTCTGGCACCTGGTGCACAGCTACCGACATCCCTCTGTATGCACAGAACGAAACTTCCTCCTCTCATCACTTCTGCCCTTTCCAGGTAACCTCCTGGTGTTCTCAGGACTGCACCTCCAAGTGTGTTTTTCCTTCATAGTCCAAGCTGCAAGCTGTAAGGAGCTAATGAAACTTTTGGTTTAGACACCTACCACAAACGCTGCCGGTCATCCTCCCTGATCCCCTTCTGTAACACTTAGCATTAAAAAACTGACCTCTTAGAGCTGGAATAATGTGTATAAATGTTGAAAGTACTGTAAATAGGAATACAAACAGAACTAGCCGTAAAAATAAACAAACAAACAAACAAACAAACAAATAAATAAATAAATGAAGAAGCAGAGGGCCTGGTTCTCCATTCTGCAAACTGACGGGCAGGCGTGAAGAAGCAGAGTATGATCTTTTAAATAGTACTTTTAAATAGGTGGTCCCGCCATTTCTCAGGTTGCTTTGATGCAATATATTGAGACATCCAAACTGTAAAATAAAATTCAGGGACACATGCTTAATGGGATGCGTAGCCTTGCTTTGTGAATGATATTATTTGTAAACACAAATGTGGCATTTCGTTTAGGAATCTATCTGCTATTTGATGATAGTGAAGGTCCTTTCCAACCTAAATGTTTATATAATATATAAACACACAGTTAATATATTGGCCATTGTTGGAATGGGAATTTCATTTGAGCTGTTCAGATGAAACTTTTTTGTCAGTTTCTGTTAGTTGGTATATGCTCGTAGCACCTGCTTGCTGAGTGGAAAGAATCAATTCTGGTTGCCCTGAAGGATTATTTATTATTATCCTTCTTTTCCAGAAGGCAGTCTGGATGTGGGAGAAACGTAGGACAGGAGAGATTGCAGGATATTTCCTAGTCTCTTCTGTGCTTTGTTTTGTAATTGTAAGAAAATACACTTGGACATTTTGTTCTGTTTTTCCATTTAAAAATACTGTTAAAACTGTGTTGGAAAAGTACTATAGATGTCTAAGCACTGTTAGATAAAGCATTTTAAATTAATTTACACCTTTTTACTTCTAGGGTGTATTTCTTTTCTACTGATGGTCTGTCAATTTACTCATTTGAGTTACATGATTTATATGTGTTTAAAGCCTTTTAAAAATCCTACAATATATCTAAACTAGGTGTGGATTCTGTAAAGACAAGATCATTCAATGCGTCAATTCTCTGTAACAAACCCTGTGTTTTTATTGAATAGTTAGGGTAGTTTCAATGTATTTTGGTTAATGAATTTATGGGAAGGAAGCTCTAAAACTGGTATGCTTTACAATTTTAGGAGTATTTCATTATTATATTGTATATACAACATTTATGCAGTTATAAAGTATTATATATATAGTATACATTATATATATTTTTAGGAATATTTCAGTATGTATTTCAGTATTTTGTATATATTTCATGTACAGTAATGATGTATTTTGTATATGTTCTTCATGTTTCTCCTGAAGTCACTTATTAAACTGGGACTGTTGTTATCTAAAATGAGAGCGTGTATATAACAAATCAAGAAACACCAAAACATTTTAGGAGAAATGTTATTACTGTGTAGGGTACTGTTGGCTAAGTACACTAGGGCTTCAACCGTGCGACTTCCATATGTGGTTATTAACCACGAATACCAAACATCAGCACTTAAAAATAAAATACAGAGGAAGACGTAAAGTCACAAGTGAAAAGGTATGTAAATGCAAGAACAGAAAAGGTCAGAAAATTGTGTTCTGTCAAGAATGCTTTATTTTTGCAGGGGAGAGAGATGATCAATAGTGAGTGACTGTGCATCCTGCTTGTCCCTGGAGATAGAAATAATACTTAAGGAAACCAGTCCTTTTATCTTTAAAGTGAATAGTTGCCTTACCACTGATTTCTTAGGGAGCAGAAGCATGCCTACTGTTTTAGCATTTTCTGTATGTCCAATCTGCACACAATTAAAAGAAGGTTGCTGATTTGTGCAAATGTGAGCAAATTTAGCTTAGGAACAATGTCTAGCCTACTCTAATGGTTTCTTTGACACAGAACACTGTCTAACCAGGAAATTTCAATGTTTTCATATAATAATTGTATGCTGGATAAAGTATTTTTTACATAGATATTATTTCTCTAAGTCTGATCACAGTTTTGAATTCAACTAAGTATTTTAATTGGATTCAAATGCAAACTTCTAAATGATGAACAGTATTCACAACAGTCAGGGATCCCAGGATTTCACTGCTGCTTCCCTCTGTATTTAGACATAACCTTCAGTGCCTTAGCAGACTGGAGGAGCAGATCACAGAGCAAAGCATGTAACCTGGGTAGCCTGTTGTGCTATGAATGTTATGATCCTTGCTCAGCTGTTTATAAATTATTTAAATATGAATGGGTGATTCAAGGCCATATTGTACATACTGAGCTTTTATATCCTTGTCATCCTGGTAGACCTTAGACTTACATTATTTACCTCTAACAAAACCAAAATAACGTACAGGCTAATATCTCAGATCTGTACCTTAAACCAAGCTCCCATAGATTTGAGTGTAAGTTCAGACTGAACCTAAGTCACAACAACAGATTTGAATCAGGGTTTGTCTAGTAGTTCATTGTAACATATATTTGAGATTAAGTTATTCTTATATGCTTAGCAATCAATAGGTTTCTTGTAAGTGCACAGATAGGCAAGAAAAAAGAGCTGGTATTCTGAAATAATTGTAAAAGAAATAAGGAAAATTATTTTGCTCAGGTTTTTATTTTGTACAGCTTGTAATTGTCTCAAAGATAGTGGGATGTAGACTTATATTAAGATAATACTGTGAATATTTTAGAAATTCTTTACAGCACTTTTATTTACTTTTAAAATACATTCTTATAGGATTGATAAAAATACACTGATTGCTATATAATTTAAAATTTGAACCTTGCTTTTTATTTATAACAAATCCATAGAAATAACACAATCAATATTTACTTAGTTTGGATCTGAACAAAATCATGGATGTACACTGCAGCTCCTGTTGGCCAGTGTACTTGGCATTTCCTTTCTGTATGTAGTATGTATTCTGTATGCAAGCATGCCACTGTGTGGGGATGTTTCAGCAGCAAGTACCGGGATGTAGAAACTCAGAGACAGGGCAGGACAGGCATAGTCTAAGTGCTTTCTAGCACTCATGCAAAGAAAGGTGCAATCTTCTGAGTGCGATGAATAATAACAAATTTATCATTCCGCATCATGCAACTCATTTTCTAGTCCAGTGCAAAGGTGCAGCCTTTGATGAATAATAAAAAAGCCCTTTTTCTTTCCACTTCTCCTCAGAGAGACCAGAGTGATTGTTAATACAGTCTGCCATAAGCTTGTCACTCTGCATTTTATTGAATATATGAATTCAAGATAACTCACAGTGAGAGCAGGAATTTTATTTTGAGCCAATTCAGACTGTTTTATTCTCTGCCATCAGAGGCTTAAGCATCTCTAGTATCAGCTTGTATTTGTTAGGTTTGGTTACAGGAAGTTATGCACTTGTTCTATGGACGTGTTAAGAGAAAGAAAAAGTGATTGCCCTAACATTAACATGTATAAACATTGTCGTGGCTTATCACTGGTATGTGAGTATGCCATTTGGAACATGATGTATTCAAGTTTAGTTGGTATCCTTGTGAAGTGGCCACATGATTGTTGTGGCACTCTTGCAACTGTGGGTTTTGCCTATTATCAGACCAAAGCTAGAAAACGATCTAGACTGTCATTGCCTGAATTATTTCTGGCACATTGTTAAGATTTTATCTCTAAAATCCTGTATTCTGAGCAAAACATTGTGCAGCATTATTTAAGTTGCATGTTATTTAGCCTTGCTTTCGTTTTTTTGTTCTTTGAGTTGAAGGCCCAATTTTTGTCTACAACCACTAGGATTTTTTATGTAGTCCTGCCTGTTGTGTTTACATTGCCAGGGCTATGTGAAGGCTGGATGTGACCTAAATGGAAAAAGCCTGTAGTTTCATGAAGATTCCTATACTTGTGGAGGAGAAAAAGATTAATGACTTCTAAATTTCTAATGCAGAGCCTGGAAATGTAGATTTCAGTGGAAATAGTCAGTGTTCATGGAAAACCTCTCTTTTTTTGTATTGGTAGAAGTTGGAGTGTTGATAAAAATATCCACAAATGGGCTGTTTTTGATGTTTTTACTAGTTTCATAAAGAATTATTTTACAGGTTAAATTTCTTCTGTAACAAAAGCTCATATTCCAGCAGCAGAATAAAAACCCAACAAACCAGCTAATTGAATTTGTGTCTTCAAAGTCAGGTGACCACCAGATATTTATCAAATACAAGTATTTTTCTTATCCATTGTGAAGTCTGTTTTTGTGTGCATTGTCATTCCTATAGCACTTCTTACACCTGTTAGTATTTTCTGCGCTATATTTGGCACAATCACAACTCTTACTATTCCTGCTGCTTTGTAAGTATCCTCAATTAATGTCTCCTGAAATGGC